AAAAATTATTACATTTTTGGTTATTACCTTTCTTGATATGAAACATAAATATATATTTAAAGGGTTTTATCGTATTAATTTTTTTCAAAACTATGTGTATAATTATTCTTACCATAATTATATTATACTATAATCATACACATGTTTTTATATAACCTAGTCACACAGTAATTATATAATTATGGTAAGAATAATCATACACACGTTTTTAATAGCATTGATTGGTGTGTATTAAAATTTATAAATATTTTTTATAAATACTTTTTGCCTAATAATAATAATCAGTCTTAATGAATTACTTTTTTTCTTTAATTCGTAATTATGTCGGTCTACATTATTACCATTTTTAATAATATTCAGTCTTATTAAATATAATACTTTTAAATTTTTATCATTAAAGGATAAAAATTTTAAAATGGAAATTTCCGGATTTTTATTTCCTTACTTTAAAAATAGTAATTTTAAATAATTATGATAGTTAATTATTATAAATTTAATATAATAATTATATGAACTCTTAGAGAGATTTTGGAATCCCTAACACTCAAGGTTAGAAAGGTATTTATAGTGGGCTAAGAGAGACAGGGCGTCGCGCGTCCACGCTAGCTAGGCCACATGCCCGGACGACGCGAGGTGATTGCTCTTTGTTCCATAGTGTTTGTCTCATTCCCTTGACAGCTTGTGCTGATTGCATTCCCTTTGGCGTGTAGTACATTGGATGAGAATATCAAAATATTCTCTGCGATCTTTCGTGGGATATGGTCGCTACCATCCAACCATCCTTGGATTTACTCGTGTTGACATATTTATGCCCATAAAACCACCCAATCAGTTCAGCAGGCATGCACTTCACCGAGTCAGGGGACAATCAGCGCCAAGCCACGCTATCTTATCGGTAGGATTACAATAACTTACCGGTCAAATTTATCGCCGGACCAGTTCCGGTGTGTATTTGTCCGGATTTCCCATTTTGATGTAAAATGAAGATTGGCCGGTTGCCTCATGCGGGCCAGATTTGGACCGGGTCCTGAGTGGAATACACCCATCACATAGTAAGCTTGCTACCTTTATTACATAACAATATTTACTCAGGCAGTTTATAATGGAATTTGAATATACCACTCATAAGGATTAAGATCTTTAGATATTCCTAAATTGTGGCAGTGTTAATTGTTTCCACATGGGTGCTACCATGGGTGCACCCATGCTTTACACAGACAAATACAGACGATAATTGTCTGTGCGATACAGACAATTATCGTCTGTGTTTGTCTGTGTGAAGCATGTGTAGCATCCATGTGGTGGCACCCTAGCATTAGTCTAATTGTTATTCAAATTTACACTGCCACTACCACATTATGCATGAGTCTTTGTTAGATGTACATTGAAACTTTTATGGGCAATGATACAATAAAGATTAAATCATATTTACACTGCTAATGAGGGCTTTGATTCTGGCTATTTTAGTAGGCATTGTGTTGCTATTCATTTGAACATTGTACCAAAGAGTAAATATTATACAAACTTTCATGCAAAGCAATTGTTTTGGTTTCAGTATTTTAATGGTGTTTAGAAATCCGAGATGGGGCGTTCACCTGGCGACGAAATTAAGAAAGGCATGACCACAATAGGTAACCACTGGAAAAAGGAAGTCTAAACTCATCGGGTTGAATTACATAAAAAAGGAAAGAGAAATCAAGTTTACACGGGGTATGATAAGTACAAAAGAAGGATAAAAAAGGCTCAAAAAATGATAAGACCATTGACCCACTCCTAATAATGTGAAAAAATAAGCTTGGACTTTTATATAGATCATTTCACATCTATTTTTCTAAAATGATCCTTTTTAAATGAGTGATTTTTCCAAATTAGTCTATTTTCGAAATAAAAATACATTAATTATGAAAAAAATATTTTAATTTTTATAGAATGACAATACAATACTAAAAACTACAAACATACTTTTATAAATTTGAAGTAAATGTTTTAGATTATTCACAATTATTCAAAGGAATATCATGTGAATAAAATGTTAAATAAAAGTTAAAGAAATCGCCCTAAATAGGAGCAAAATATAAAGAAAGTATCAAATAAAAGTTCTTTCTTTATGTTGTCCTCCTATTTATGATGATTTTTTTAACATTTACTCTCTCCGTCCCCAAATAAACTTCCCGTTGCGTGTTATGATGTTTGGGTGAAGTTATTTTCAAATCATTTTATATAAAAAATGGTGTAAAATTTAAAAAAAAAAATTACATATTAAAAAACTATATCAAAAGATCTACAAAACTGGAGGTGACATGATTATATTATTTTATCAAATGGGTGGCGAAAATGGGCCAACAAAGTGAATAAAGTTTGACCATTTGAATAGTGAACGAGAAGTTTGACCATTTAAATAATCTAAAATGTTTACTTTCAAAATTATAAAATAATATTTATAGTTTTTAGTATCATGTTGCCATCCTATAAAATTTAAAATAGGGGAATTTACCTAAATTGTACTAAAACATAATGACTTAGTACCACTAGTCATTATCCACTGGTCATTGTTCAAGTAAGTGTTCAACACCATTGGACATGGTTCAAACTAAATGTTCCCCATCATTGGACATTATTCCCACCACTAGACATTAATCAGGTACTATTTAGAGAATAAAAAAGTTTTAGTACTAAATTAGGAAATGACATATGGTTTAGTACTATTTAACGCAAATTTCACTTTAAAATATTGTTTTCATAATTAATACCCGAGTATATTTTTATTTACAAAAATGATCAATTTGATAAAATACCCAGTTTGAGATAACCATTTTTAGAAAATAGTATAAAATTTGATGTTGTTTTAATGCTCTTTTAACGGCCATTAGTTGGGAGGACTGAACTAAACATTATTCTCAATTAATGAGTACCATTCAGATTACTTAATTTTAGAGACTTATTTGAGAAAGCACATAGTTATTAAGTATATTTTAGGCTCTGTTCTGTACTCTTGATCTGATTGAATTTGATCTGAATTTTTGAAGTTTTGATCAGATCTGATTGGATCTGATATGACTTAATTGAATCTAATCGGATTTGATTGGATCTGATATGCTCTGATCTGATTTGGTTTGATCTGATATCGTTGGATATAATTTGATCTAATTGGATTTGATTTTATTTAATTAGATTTGGTGTAAATGAATTTAAATTTGATTTAAAAATAATTACAAAATTTAATAGTTTTAAAGTATTACAATTCATATATATATAAGAAAAGAAAAACAAGAAAGTGAGCTAATCATTGATATATTTAAAGTTTTTTTTTGAAATATTAAACATCTTTTCAATACCACTACTTTTTTAATCTTTGTGAAAACTAAATAATTGGTATTAAAATAACCAAATAGCCAAATAATAATAATAATATACAAATAATAATATATAAAATTATAATACTAATTAAGATTTAGGTGTGTGTAGCTTTAAACAAAGTAATATGATATTAATAATATTTAAAATTATAATTTTAATTAAAGTTTAGGAGTGCGTAGTTTTAACATTATAATATTAATATAAATATAATAATAATATTTAAAATTATAATACTCCCTCCGTCCCACAAAAAAGTTTTCATTTTGATGTATTTTTGGTCAAACAATTACACGCTTTGACCATAAATTAAATATAATCTAAATAAAGAAATGCTAAAAAAATTTGAGATATCAAAATTAGATCCTAAGATGAATCCAATCATATTAAATTTATTTTATAATTCAATATATCTTTCTCACAATTTTTAGTCAAAGCGTGTAAATATTTGACTAAATACTATTTAAAATGGAAACTTTTTTGCGGGACGGAGGGAGTATTAATTTAGGTGTGCGTAGCTTTAAAATTATAATATTAATATAAATATGATTTTTTTATACTTTTTCCTAATTTAATAGCATTGGATTTGATTTGATCTGATTGGATCTGGTGTAATATGATTGGATCTGATTGTATCTAAATTGATCTAATTGAATCTGATATGATTTGATTGAATATGATCTAATCTGATCTTATTTTAAGAGAATAAGTAATAAGTAAAAATAAATGCTATAGAAGCTTGACTCTTTTATTAATTTATTTTTAGAGTAAATTCCATAAAAAGTTCCCAGTTATATGTCGTTTTACATATTTAGTCCCTACATATCAAATATTACTAATTTGGTCCCCAATTATTATATCATTTTTCACGAATGGTTCTTTGTTAACGTTTTTGCTAAGAACATGGATAAACTTGTATATTCATACTTCTCTCTATCCTCAATTAAGCTCCCTCCCTCCTTTCGTATTAATTCCCAAACTCGTCACTGAGTTTGAAACTCTAAACCAAAACTGAAATGATCATTCCTCTCTCACTTATTAGTCTTCCTGGTAGAACCTAAAATCAAAACCAATAAGCTTTTTATGGTTGAGTTTTATCGGTTACTCTCAGGAAATTGCAAAGAAAAGAAACATTAAAACCCATCCATGAAGGTTACTGATTTCGAATTTGGGTCCCATCAGTTAGACAAATAATTGAGAGAAGAGTGATGATTTTGGTTTTAGGTTCAAAGCTTCAAACTCAGCGACGGGTTTGGAATAGGTGTGCGAGGGGAGGGAGGAAGCTTAATTGAAGAGAGAAATGAGTGTGAATTTATAATTTAATCCACGTTCTTAACGGAAATGTTAACAAAGGACCATTCGTGATTCGTGGAAATGAATATAAGAATTGGGGACTATATTAGTAATATTTGATATGTAAGGACTAAATATGTAAACGACCTATAACTAGGGACATTTTATGAAATTTACTCTTACTTATTTTGTACACCATTCATCCCAACCCTTCATTTATTTTTTTATTTTTAATTTTTTTTCTTTCTCTTGCTTTGTGTGGTGGAGATGGAGGGGTACAAATGGAGCCTTTTTGTATTTTTATTAGGGACAAGTTTAATTTGGTAGTTGGTTTTGGAACGGTTCCGCTAATCAATGCGCATCCCGGAGAAACATTGGGGTGTGAATGGCGAGATCTCTAGGACTGACGTGCAGGAGGATGAACCAGCCAGGAAGCAACCGATGCTGTCGAATATGCTCCGCCACTCCACTACCGGCCTCGATCGGCATAGCCATTGTTGCCTTCGGTATATACCGCCACCGCGTGGGCGGAGCTGCCTGCAATCAGATCTATGCTCATTCGCATTCTGAATCTCATTCTCACTGATCGAGAACAATCATCGCTTACAAGGTGATCTATCTCACTTTCCATCATTTTCTCCTTTCTTACTGAAAATCTTTAATAATTGACTTGTTCCAACTGTTGAATGAGGGGTCATGTGTGCTTATGTTGAAAGAACATTTCTGTTGTTGAGAATTAAATATTGGAAGCTAAGAATATGGATTTCTAATAATCCCGAGTCCAGTTTTTAATATGGATTAATCATAACCTCAATTTTGTGTATGTATCCACTCAGACAGAAATGTGTAATTATGCATAGATTTATTGATACAAGAGTTGCACCCTAAACTTGGGTATTAACTATATCAATAAACTTATATGATAAACAAACAAAACCGATTGAGTGCAGTTAACCTCGGTCCAAATTGAGAGTTTGACTGGGTTGAAATTCAATCCCTATTTATCGAAGGGTAAAACTTGGTCTCGTTTTATGCTCCTTTCCAACATTGCATTGTCAATGTGGGGTTTCAACTTTCAACTCTGTTGCGCTGCAAGTGGCTGCTCCTCCGGAGCAGCACGTGGCTGGGTAGTAGGGACCTTTTCCTCTTCTTTTTTCTAAAACTCCATCAGCTTATCTTCTGCTTTATTCTCTGCTTCTTTAGTGGTTGTGCTCTTGGTAACTTAGGGAAAACCATTTTTCTTGCTTGGTTAGGGATGAAAAGAAGTGAGGGAAAAGTGAACTAAAAAAGGGAAAAATCAATTCTTTTCACATTATGTCTAGTACAAGAAATTTGATAAAGAAAAAAATGATATGGAAAATTATTTTTCTTGTTTGGTTAGAGAGTAAAAGAAAAGAATGTTAGTTGATGTGCCCACGCCTTAGCGGGGGTGAATAAGGCATTTAAAGATTTTTGGGGTTTAATAAAATTGGTGTCAGAAAATGTGGAAGCAATGTAAAAACGCAGAAAATTAAAAACGTAAAATAAATTAAAGACACACCAATTTTATACTGGTTAGGGAACTCTATACTCCAGTACCTTAAGGCTCTTCCTTAAGGATTTCCGAATCCACTAAGCCTCGGTCTCTTGAACCCCGTCAAAGCACTGCACAATTTTAGCAAACAACCCTTCCCAATAGGATTCAATGCCGAGATTTCACCACGGCTATCTCAAACTTGCTTACAATGAAGATTTCACGGCTATCTTCAACCATTCTTCCCAAGGATTTGAAAGGCTATCCTTGAACCTTTTACCCAAGGATTTCGCTTCTATCCTTAACCGTTACAAGTTGAGAATTTAACGGCTATTCTCGATAGTAAGAAGATGTGTGTGAAATCACAAAAATAGGTTCTACACAACAACTTGATCACAAAGATGAAGAACAAGATTTAGCGGGTGTAGAACAAAAAAATACTCTCTAGAAGCTACAATAGAAACCTATGGATATGAGAGTATATAACTAAACCACAAGCTCAATAGTGTGTGTATGAAAATCAGGAGAAAAATGGATCTTGAAATAGCTAAAATATAAGAATGATGAATAAAAGAATTAACAAATTTGAAAAATGAAATATAGAGTTTGGGAGCTTGAGTTCTCGTGTTGAAATATGAAGGATTAAGTCTATATTTATAGTGGAAAATGTTAATTAGCTGTTGGAGATTAATTAGGATAGATTTTGACTAACTAAAGGTGATTAGATTTGTAAACCGGAATTTAAAAATTTTTCAACGATAAGGGTAGCATGGTACTGGACAAATGGTATCTAGGCCCAGCTGGCGGTCTTAGGGTACCGGCACAGGCTGTTTTGCTCTGGCAGACCAGGCGGTAGCGAGGTACCGGTGGTGGCGGTATAGCCTACCATAAGGGGTACTGGACTAGGTACTGACCCACTGATCTGGGTTTTCGAAATTGACCTAATCCTTTCCGTTTGAGTTCAAAACTTTTTGGATATTTGGAAATGATAATTTGAAGGTTTTAAACATTTTTTTGAGTGCACTTGAGCTTGTGAATATAGGTATATAGAATCATACCTTTACATTTACTTCTACCTATATTCTATGCTAGTTTGGTGTTTCAACTTCGTTCTTGAGAACCGTTTCTTATTGGATTCTTGTTGTACTTGAAATACTCAAACAAACATTAGCTCATATATTGTTTGTTAACATTAGAACACGCGATTTAGCAAACCAAGGCTAACAAAGAAAAGTCGAAGAAAAAGGAAAATGAGATAAAAAATAAACTAAGAAGATGAAAAATAAAATTACTTTCCATAAAGGAAAGCAACATTTATTCTTTCACTTCCTTATTTCTCGAAGCAAACACAATGTCAATTTGGTGAGGAAAAGATAAGAAACTAACGTCATCAAATCCTTGCACCCAATCCTTCACCACTCAAGCCTAGTTGTTCATTTTCTCTCTCTTCTCTCCATTCAATCCCTCACGCTTAGTAATAATAATAACAATAATACTAACAACAACAATAATAATAACAATAAAATTAAAAATAATAAGGTATTTTTCTTTCCGATTTCACTAAAAACCAATCAAAACTAGGATTTTGGATTTCTTTAGTTTTCTTTTCCTTTTCTTAACATTTTCTTTTCCTTCCTAACTAGATTTGTACCCTCGTGATGCGCGGTCAAATATTTGTGTTAAAAATTTGAGATGGATTAAGTAGAATAACAAAGTATTAACGAAAAAAGAATGATTAGAAACTTTAACCATTAGAATAAATATCAATGATCAAACAATGATATATTAGAAATATTTTGGCATGAAGAGTTTCAACAACAATCAAAAGACAATTTTAAAGAGAGAACTTGACAAGAACAATATGCATACATCCAATTGGACATTCTCAAGACCGACCCTACCCCCGCCCTGGAGAATAGGCTCAATCTTTGATTATCATAATCAATTTACAAAAGAATGTTTTTTTAAGGAAAAACAGAAAAAATGTGAAGCTTAGATTTAAAAAAGAATCAAAGATGCTAAGGTTTGAGAAGTAATATTTGAGCATAAATCTAAACATCTACTTGTATTGGTAAATCATTCATATCTATAAGTTCATACATCTCAAAACTAAGAATTGTCAAATCCACTATAATTAATCCTATTGTTAATCCTGAAGGCCTTGTCCGCAAAGAGTGAGAAACAGTAGATGCAGTAAAGGGGTTTCACTAACTTTATATCTTCACGAATCAATCTTATCTCAACATTTGTTCCAACCAACCAACCAACATAATTTTATTAAAAACAAATCACAAAGAATTATACAAAAATCCCACCTCAAGTCTAGTAATAAGAAGACAACTCCAAATTCATTTATTGCTTAGGTTTCTTGTCCAATCAAGATTCAAGCAACTAGATATTCAAGAACATGACTTAGGCAGCATTCCGTTCAACTTATGTTTTCTGCTTATTACTTATTCTTATTATAATCATACTCAGATCAGACCAGATCAGATCAGAAATAGCTTTAATTATAATTGCAATCAAATTAGACCAGATCTCAAATCTTCAAAAAAGCTGATCAGATTTAGGCAAACGGAACGCCGCCTTAGTTGAGCTATAAAATGTGTTGTCCACCGCAATATTGGTGCCAAGATTGATCATTTCCACTATTTTCTCAAGTAAACTTTTCTTCATGTTTAGACTTTAGATCATCCATTGGTTTGAAAATAGGGTATAAATTAAAAGGCTAATTGCACAATTATCTATAAAGTGGGTCTAGATTCCTTGCAACAATGTTGAAAGAACAACCAAGTAAAATTACACTCCCTTATACATCTCAACAACACTCCCCTGCACATAAAAAAAGCCTTCCATTAAGGTAAAAAAGTGACAGGTGTCCATTAAATTAGATAAACTCTTTCTGTTTCACAAAAAAGATATACTCTTTCAACCTAAAACGTAATCTATAAATGTGATTGATGTCTTTTAAGGTAAATGGGAGTTCAAAAATCATGAAAAAAGAGCAAAATAATGATATGTACAGTGGCGTTTAATTTCTATCTTTGATAAGAATAGGATTAGTATAAGATATGTATAGTAGTGCTTTAGCTTTGGATGCTACCCTACAGTAAGTGAAACAATAAAGTTGTCACATGAATACTTCCATTTCAATATACTTGCTTTAAACAATTAAAAACAAATTTTCAAGTCATGGAAAATATAACTAAGGTTGATTTTACTGGAATGCTCATGAAAAAACTGTATTATTGACTTAGGAATCAGGTAGAATTTACTTACCTTATTGACTTGGAACCACTTCTCAGGAGATTCTTCATTCTTCACATCCTTCTCTATTGTATTTGGCTTTTGGCTGCTCATAATAATCATTAATTGAGTCATTATTAATTCATTTTCTCTCCAACTTTGTGGAAATGGTATTATAGCATATCTAATTCAAGGTTATGAACTTGTACCCACAGCACAACTTACTTTAATTAACCAACATCTAATGGGTCAATCCCAAATAATTCATATCCAATTTTTCTAATAATATCAAGGGATTGCAAACTGCTAGTTAGATTTGTTCTTTGTTACTATGATTTTATTTATGGTATGTCTGTGCTGCACAATATATGTCATTGTCATTATATCTTTCAATTTGCTTTGGGATTAAAATTTTATGCTTGGTATCCCAAAGCAAAACCTAATCATATACTCCGTATCAAATGTTTAGATCTTTTCCAAAGTAGGACTTTAAAAAACAATAAAAGAGCCAAATTTGGGCTTTTATTTGAAGATATAATGACAATGACATATATTGTGCAGGAATAAGAGTCTTTTGTTCAACATTAGGATGCCAAACTTGCAGAGTAGGGGTTGATTTAGCATCCACATGCTAAATTCTTCTTCATATACTTCTAAAACATTGGCCAACTCATTTTAAATCTAATTTGTTTAACACCACCATTTTTAAAAGTTAAATCCACTCAAATATCTTCATTCTATTAATTATTTATTCAAAATGTTAAACACAGTAGACATAAAGCACCTGCAAATCCACAATGTAATCTACTCCATTGACATTTTACTTGGGTTCTTCTTTTAAGATATTATCC